AAGAAGTTACACTCTTAAAAATAAAGGTGCTTCACGATGCCATAGAAGAAACTTTGGTTACACTTTATTTCGATAGTCCAGTTTAGACATTCTATTAACTATAAGTAACTTTGTAACTACATGTCAACTAATTCTCAGAGTAGACTGTTAGGGTAGGTTTAGGGTTAGTAGAATGTTGACAAAGAAAGTGTTAGAAGATATTAAGCAGACAGTCTACTAATACTCTACTAACTGCTAGTTGACATGTAGTTGCAAAGTTACTTACTGTTAATAGAATGTCTAAAGTGGACTATCGAAATAAAGTGTTACCCTAGTTCTTTCTGTGAAGATTAGGCTTTGGTTTAGTTGAGTTATTCTCCTTAAATTGATTGGACTAGCGAGTTTAAAGACAATGTTTAATGTCACAGTGGTTAACTGGGATTTACAACTTGTAATTACAAGGTCAACATGACATGAGTGGTTGTACTACGGGGAAACTCATAAATAGGATAATGATCGTAGGATTAGTTCATTCTGTGAATGCTTTGGTTTAGCTGAGTTGTTCTCTAGTTTAACTAGTCTTCCCACAGAAGGGTTGACTGGAAACATGCCTGAGCACAATGTTTAAACTACTAGCCTAGTTATTTTAGATGGGAAAAATGACTTGAGTGGACTGGACTAATGAGTATAAACAGGGTTTATTTGTTGAAGATTTGGGCTGGTAATGTTTAGTGTTTTCTAACAGTTTCATTTTGGTTGTTTTTGTGACGTGACAGTGGTTAACTGGGATTATTCGGAGCGTTGCCTAATGTAGTTATGAGTTGAACAAAGATGTGACCCTTTTTAACTAGCAGGAAACTCATAATTACTGTAATTCCAATATGAACGCAGGACTAGTTTAGGCTTTGGTTTAGTTGAGTTGTTTTTCTCTAGTTTTGATGGAAAACATGCCTGAAGCATGAGCGGACAAGCAAGTTGTTTTAAATGGGATAAATATTTAGGGTGTCATGTGCTAGTTAGTATAAACAGAGAGTTTAGTTGTTAAAGATCTAAACTGGTAACATGTAGAAGGTTGTTTTTTGTGATATCACCGATAACTAGAAGTTCAGTGGTAAATTGAGATTAGCCAGAGCATTTCCAACTGGTAATTACAAGTTTTTACTAGCAGGAACATGAGTTGTTAATTCAAAATGAGTTGTTTCTACAAAGGTTCGGCTTTGGTTTTGAGGTATTTTTTTCTGGTTTAGTTGAGTTGATCTTCTCTAGCTTTGATGGAAAAGGTGCCTGAGGCATGAAAAGATGTTTAAACTGCAATGCTAGTTGTTTTAGATGGGAGAAATGACTTTGGTAGACTGTTAACTAGCTGACTAGAGGGTTTAGTGGTTAAAGATCTGGGGTCTCATTTATAAACGTTGCGTACGCACAAAATGGGCATATAAATATGCGTAAGCAATTTTCCACGCACGTATCCGGATTTATAAAAAATAAACTTTGTGTAAATATGTACGCACCGTACGGACATTCTAGACCATGTGTGCAAACTCTTTTTCCTGGAGTGAGAAAACTAATGAAGTAAACAACGATTTTAAACTCTGTTTTCATGTCGATACACACATTTACATTAAATATTCCACTCTCATTAATGGAGATAAGCACTGAAATCACAAAACGTCATTACGCAGAAGTTAAACAAAAAATAGGTTATATGAATTTAGACATTTTGTTTAAAACAATTGAAATACAATTTGGCCAGTGTAAAAGAATGAGATCAACTCTATTCTAAAATATATCTGAGAACTATTTTAAAGCGTTTTGTTTTTATGGATATTTTCATATATTTATTCTAAAACATAACAAGGATACTGGATGATTTTTTTAGCAATAAAAATTAATGTTTGGCACAAATGGCATTTAGTCCGTATCTCATATTTCCTTAATGTCTTGTACCTTTGACGGTCGGTTTTAAACATGGTGTCACGTGGATGGGAATATGCATGGAAATGATATGCAGATGAGGTTATGCATAGTAAAACTAGGCGTTGTAAGCTCCATATATGGTGATTTCGGGGAGGAGTCGGGGTGGAGATGCACGTACACACAATCTTCCCCTGACCGGGATTTATAAAGGGATTTTTGCGCAGGTTCTGTCGTACGCATGGTTTTATAAATCTGAAAACGTTTGTGCGTAC